AGGGCATTGTAGTCATCGGCCTCTTCTGCAACTAAGCAGTGGTAGACTTCCCGAGCTGCACCTTGCAAAAAGGCTGAGACATAATTGGCTCAGTGCTGTTCAGGGACCTGAAGAGCATGTGCGAGTTTCTCGAACTGCACGAGGAAATCGTCAGTAGCTCCCTCCTTGTCATTGAAGCGTGGCATGTTGATCTGGACCATCCTGTGGTCGATGAAAGGTCGTCCTGTCCCTCCAGAGCTTGAACTGGCGTCGTCCCGGACGTTAGTCCTAGCTTCAACTCTCACCTTTTCCATTTCCAGAGTGTGAGCGAGTCTGGCAAGCTCCAGCTCTTTCTGGGCGTCTCGGTCCGCGGATATCTTGGCTAGTTCTTGGTCCGCAGCTATCTTGGCTAGTTCTTTCTGTGCTTCCCTGTTCGCTGCTTTTTCGGCGGCAATTCGGGCTATCTCCGCTGCTTTTTCGGCCTTCCATTCATTGATCCTTTCTTCTATAAAGGTCGCCAGGCGATCTCCCTCATATCCAAGATCTTCAGATCCCATGACGCGATATTCCTTTATCATTTGCCTTTCGGTGGCCATTATAACTAATGTAAAGTGATACCTTGTCTCAATATTCTAACAATACACAGATATTTGTGATACAAGTTTAAATACTTACCGGTCGACAGCAACTAATTTCGTCCAGGTAAGATTTTTGTCTGATATCTGCTTGACAAGTACTGCTAGCAATGGAAGATTTACAAAGCATGCACATATGACAATAAAATACAAGATGAGAAAATCATAAGAATTAAATTACAAAGAATGGAAAATATTTCACACTGTTCACTAAAACTCCTACAAATAACTTTAGGTCCTAAAATAATATATATGTCTAATTCATATCCCGGACGAAAGGCCCCCACTGTGGGGTTCGGTCTAGGGGTGGGGTTCTTCCTATGGACTTTAAAGAATTATGAGGAAGTTCCCCTGGTCCACTTTCAGAATGCTACTTCATATATATATATATATATATATATATATATATATATATATATATATATATATATATATATATATATATATATATATATATATATATATATATATATATATATATATATATATATATATATATATGGCAACAAGCCCCCAGTCAGCAATGCCGACAGATAAATTATAAGGAAATACGAAGATAAAATTGAAATAATAGCAATTTAATGAAATGATAACTTTAAAAGATCTTAAATTAATCACTGTCACTCTTGACCAAGTGACCGCCTAAATCATCATTTGATTCCAGTGTGAGTAGATTTTCCCTTCACCTTGTGTGTTACTCATCTATTCTGTCTTCTTCCTCTTGTCTTTCTCTCCTTCCATTCCCCTTTCTGTATTCCTCTCGACTGTCTCTCTCTCTCTCTACTTCCGTTTCCCTTTTCCCTGTATCCCTCTCTTCTTCCGTCTGTCACTCAATGTCTCTCAACGTCACTCAAGGTTGCTCGACTGTCACTCTAACGACCCTCGAACTTCCCTCGAACGTCCCTCGAAGCTTCCTGATTGAAGCTGTTTTCCAAAGATTCCCTGAATCTGGCCAATTTACGGTTGGCAACGGAGTTCTACCTCTGAACAAAATCGTTTATTGTAGCGAACTGCCTAATTCCTACGAAACATCGGTTATTATCCCAGGGTCAAATAAAGGCCCACCCACCTCGCATTTCGATTGGATGGCTCTTGACTCGGTTAGTCGTTCAAACTGTCAATCATCCGAATGTCTGTCTGTGGGTCCATCAAATGTTACAGTCTACATGTTTGGTGGGTCTTCTGTCGTTTGAAGTGGTTAAGTAAATATCCGCAATGTACACATGCACTGGTCGAATATCTCGCCCGAGCTGAACAAAGACCATGTTACGTAAGGGGGTTAGCTAACTTAGGAACTTCTACAACATCAAAGCCGTTCAGCCAGAGTACAATTTTACACATGTATACTTTAAGTCAGAACAACCAGTTATACGTACATATACAACACAAGGGGTTGGGGTAAAACATCACAATATATATATATATATATATATATATATATATATATATATATATATATATATATATATATATATATATATATATATATATATATACATACATCTGTGTGTGTGTGTGTGTGTGATGGACAGCTACTTTTCTGCAGCAGATTGTGACTGAATTGACACATTTCGAGAGCCTTATATGAAACAGCCTTAGACAAACCTAAGAGGTAAAGGCCCCCATCACCCCCCAGCCATCATCAATAAATACAATAACAACAACAACAACAATGCAAGCAGGAAATGATTAAAGCAGCTACAGTTCGTGATTTTATCTGGAACATTTTGAAACGGACTTTGTATAGGCCGCCTATTCATATAAAAAAATATGCTCGTTCTTTAATGTAAATAGAAAACAAAAATAAACAAGAAGTGATATGTTTGTGCAAATGTAGATGTGAGTGAAAGATGAAATTTAATATTCTTGAATAAAAACAGTATATATATATCCACTAATTTTTTTATTGTTACATTCAGGCTGAATAGGAATGACTAAAACAACAAGTTATTTCACAAAATTTCATTCTTTACTTTCTCTGTTTTATTTCACGTGACCTCAGGTGATGTCTTGTTAGCTTATTGGTTTTAATTTCTTAGAGGAAATATGTTTTGCAGGCACAAAATGTATAGATCCATTTACATTTTGTCCACTTGTCACTTCAGTAGCAGTATTTACAATACCACAATCCGTATCAGCATCATCTCCTTCGTTTTTCTGCATGGGTCAAGTATCTGTTTCCCATACACAACAGACACGATATCACCCCATCTGTGCAATATGTTGTATATTTGGTAATGCACTGTCCAGTGATGAGTTTGACATTCTGAAGCTTTTGTTTGTGGAGTTTTGCCAAATATAAAGCACATGCTGATTTACATCATAAATAAAGTTATTGGGCAGGTTTAGCTTTTTATTACCTCTTTTGTTGCCCGTACTAACAAATGTAACTAGGCATCCAACAGTAAGTAATCCTTTTTAACAGACGGTATCAGCAAATCATGTTTCTGCAAACTTTCGTATAGTAATGGGCTTTTTAATTTCATGTTTTGCAAGACTTTCAGCGCGGAAAGGAGTCCGACGAGAGGAACAATTTTGGGCGGTTTAAATATAATTCGAAGAGTTGAGTAAGACTATTGTTTCAGCGGTAGAAATATAGGCTTTATTCAGCATCTGGATTACGATTGTGACAAGAGCTAATGCAATAGCAGTTCCGAAGCTGTCTTCATCTTTCGAATCGTCTGTATAGGTATTTTAGAGCCTCCCTCTATAGCCACGACAGGAGGCTCTGATTTTCCTTGAATTTAGTCTATCTATCTAGAGAGAGAGAGAGAGAGAGAGAGAGAGAGAGAGAGAGAGAGAGAGAGAGAGAGAGAGAGAGAGAGAGAGAGAGAGAGAGAGAGAGAGTACTTATTGAAAGCATTTTAATTTATAGTGGTAAAATATTAGTTTAAGAGGCTTTCAGAATACAAAGGTTTGCAATATTTACAACACTGATTTTCGCTGCTTCTTGGTAGTTGTTGTAGGGTTTAACGCCATTTTTCAGCACAATATAGACTATACATAGCGGGCAGTATTATTGATGGAGGAAGAATCTGGAAAACCCAGGGAAGAACCACCGACCCACGAGAAGCTACTGGCAGGCTTTCTCACTTACCCAAGTTAGCTGAGTCTGGACTCGAACTCACGCAAACAGAGGTGAGATGGCTGTGATCCGTAACGGTCAGCGCTTTAGACCACTCGGCCACTCGGGGCCCCCGCTGCTTTTTGGTGAGGACGAGTTCGCATGCCATTATTTGGAATGAAAGTGGTTTCTGCGTGTACGAGGTTTTGAATTTGGGCGAAAAGATTATGTCATATTGATACAAGCCAGGGGTCTTTGCTTGACCAAGAGATGTCAAAGCCCTGGCGCGATTTCCGCTAGAAGTTATAAGTTTTTCCCAAAGCTCGAAGTAGAGGAAGGTGCAGTAACATAGGGAGAAACCTTATCAGACCCAGTGAGCGATCACCTCACCCGAAACATCTGAAGGAGAAAACAAACCCCAGCTGCTACTTCATCTATTTATGCAAGCAACACCTCCGAAATAAAGAGAAACACAACAAGTGGCCAGGCTGAACGAAAAGACTGCCCAGGAGATTCCGGTGCAGGACCCGGTTAGCATACAAGAGGTGGAAGAGTGAAAGGACACCCCCTCAACAAAAAACCAACAAGAAACACTCCTCCGTTTATATATATATATATATATATATATATATATATATATATATATATATATATATATATATATATATATATATATATATATATATATATATATGTCAATTTTCATGGCAACAATCACACTAGTTAGAGATTGAACAAATATGGAGCGACCCAGTAGCAACCAAAACCTACGTAGAAGACCAGGATATACTCATTGACAGCAAAAGGACTATTCTACCAGAAGGAAAGACTAAACCAACTAAAATACGGACCAATATATCACAACAAATACCAAAATGAAATGGGTAAAGTTCCTCGTACCCCTAGCAGCTTATTCATTGAACAACATGTATCACGAAGTTTTCCCATTGGCTACCTACAATTTCTTTGTCAATGGATAGTAGATGATTTCACTGATCCAGGCACGCTAAAACATTGAGTTGGAAGAAATTACGAGCCGTCTTCATATCTAGTACAGACGAAGGAGAGTCCACAAAGAAAACAAAAGTCCCTTTTATGGGCTAAAGAATACTCCAAAATGAACAAGGGTTTTATTTTGGCTTGTAAACCAATTTTGGTAACTTTATATTAAAACACTCGAATATGATCCATTTAACCTCCTGTTTTGTAAATTACTCTTCTTAGATACCCAACCTTGACCGCAAAATTTTACCATCTCACATAGACTTTATATTCTTCTTATTATTTAGAACAATGATATACACTTTGTACACGAAATTCTAGACCGCTCCGGTGGCCTAAGTGTTTAGAGCGTACTCCTCGGATGCGTGAGGTCGCGGGTTCGAATCCCGACTGAGTCATAACAAAGACTTATAAAATATACTGATAGCTGTCTCGCTTGGCGCTCAGCACTCAGCATTAACAGATTAGTGTTAGGACTGGTCCGACTGGTGTATGAATAATGTAACTGGGTGGGACATTATGCTACTATAAAATGTCACTATAAAAAAAACCTGTCACACTGTAGACATCGTAGCGATATGACTGAAATTTTTTTAAAGTTACGTTAAAAACCCCAATCACACGCACACACACGCACGCACACACACGCACGCACACACTCACACAAAATTCTAAAATGTTATGAATCGACAAATTTTAAAACCTTTTGAATTGCCCAAACGTTATATGTGGCTAACACGTGATTGGTTGATAGGGAACTACCGATTTAGAAAACTGGGTTGCATTTGATCTTTCAGTACTCACTTGGCGTTTGAGAAGCCATGAAACAAGCAAATGAAAGCCAAATCCCGTGCAAAGACGCTAGACTGGATGTTGTCGGGTTGTTAGACATGAGATGTCGAACTAATAAGCCTACTGTGTATGCATAAACGCGTGCGGAGTGTGGCTCTCTTACTCTTCCGTACACGGTTAATGTCCACGGTTTGGACATTAACGCTTCGTACGTGCCCGAATGGACGCACACAAAGAAATCCAAGTTCAGTCTGTCAGTCTTGTCTTCTATCGTGAACCAGTGAAGACAGGTATTTTGGATATATTATACACGATTCTGTTCTTTCTGCAGAGGGGGCAAAACCTCTTGAGTCGAGTAGAGGAGTAAAAATTGCTATCCAATAGAATACTTGTTCAGACAGATGAGATCAACTTAAGGCAGACTAAAGAACTCTAGATAATTTTTTGGACGAGAGAGGAAGAAAGCAGAATGATATAGAAGAGAAAATAAGTCAGTGGATTAGACACGGAATGGTAATCTTTGGCAATGCATCAGACAAGATAAGGAACAACAATAACAGTAGTAGGAACAGAAGCAACAGAAGCATGAGCAACATACAAGAAAACTGGGAAGCCAAACCTGACTAGCCTTGATTTAGGCTCTATGTTTAAGTAGAAACAGGTAATGGAGAAAAGTTGTCAAAAATGCTAATCATACCGTATATTCAAAGATTAATGAAGGGGAATACTAATCATTGATTGCCAATTTATGTGTTTGTGTGTGTGTGTGCATGCGTGTGCATCAGAAAGACACTAATTATGTCGTATTCTCTGTTAAGAATGCGAGTAGCCTCTAATTGACATTGGTTTATGATTATAAGGTCTGAGTGTATATTATGTGGCGAACATATTAGTTCTGTTGAATTTGACGGAAAGAGTGGAGATATTTGTTGATCCCTGTAGAAGGAGACCTGACCTAATTTGGTTGGGTGTTAGTTTGTAGTTTTCTTTTTTTGGTGGGTGGGTGGTATATTTTAAAGAAGATCGCTCCATAAGGTCGATGATCCGGAGAGGCTAGAGATAGAGGGAGAAGGAGAGAAATATTGAAACCCTGACCGATCATCAGCAGTGTTTTAAAAGGACGGGAAGCACCAGTGATGCTGTCATACCGATAATCTGAGTTCGATCAGTCACTTGATCATGTGATAACATTTGTTTTTTTATAACATTTGTTTTATCAGTATAACAAAACGGCTAACTGAATTTCTCATAATTTTGGAACTATTTCTGAGAGAACTTGAATCATTCACATGTCATGTACAATTTCGTTTTATGTAATTGGTTTAATTGTTATAGTTTTTACGTACGGGGGCTCGTTTTATTTTATTCTGTATATCTGCTTAGAATTCTGTTATTCCATCTCTAATTCCATATTTTATTTTACTGTTTATTCGATCCGGGCAATAACACTGTTGTCGATCATCTCATAGATAACGATTAACCAAACATTTTGAAGGAGTTGGGGAGATCATACATTTCCACCATCTCCTGGCAATTATGATTGATATACTTACGTTTTATATATAAATATATATATATATATATATATATATATATATATATATATATATATATATATATATATATATATATATATATATATATATATATATATATAAACTTGGAGTTTTTTTATGAAATTACTTATGATGTTTGGGGCCCCAAGTGGCAGAGTGGTCTAAAGCGCTGTCCGTTACGGATCACTGCCATCTCAGCGCTGTCTGCGTGGGTTCGAGTCTAAGATTCGGCGAATGTGGATATGTGAGAAAGCTTGCCAGTAGCTTCTCGTGGGTCGGTGGTTCTTTCCGGTGATTTCCCGGTTTCTTCCTCCACCATTAATACTGGCCGCCATGTATAGCCTATCGTGTGCTGAAAATTGACGTTAAGCCCCACAACAACAACAACTTATGATGTTTAGTTTGTCCGGTATAAAAATGGTGCCGATTTACATGTGATATGTCCAAAATGGAAGTCATACTAAAAATTTTGCTATTGCTACTTCTCCTAAATGGATGGCAATATCGACATTTTTGGTAATGCTTACTTGTGGAATTTGACTTTCTTGCCTGAAGTAGGGCATATGTGTTTCATGAACGTAAATATCTTTCAGTCTTCACAGATTCCAGTATAGTGTTTTAATGTTGTCAGGAGGTTGTAGAAATGTTATATTATGACGTTAAACAGCAACGCTGTAACAGCATGCCAGCAGATTTGCCAAAGCACGTTGCCGAAGCGTAATATAGCAGTGCTGCCGCAACTTTAGTGCAACTATGTAGCCTATCATCAGATATTCTTAATACAACGTCATTGTTTATAATTAGGTAGGGTGTTTATCGGTCAAGCCAATGTTAATCTGTCACAATATTGGTCTGTTATCATGTATGCAGTTTTCTTAACTAAGAACCGTCGTCTACTTAATACGTCTGTCTTCCATTATGCAATCCGTCATGTTCAATTCCCTTCAACCAGCCCCCATAAATATGCACGTTTAATTAAACTTACCCTCCTCCATAGTGCCATCCTAACAGCAAATTCCCATTTTCCTCTGTGATTACTTTTAAGAATAAACTTCAATAGATTCCGAAGTGCCATTTTTAAATGCTAAGTTTCCTTTTCCAACACTGTGACATTTCCATAACGCTAAAGTCCCATTCCCCACATGGTGACATTTCCCGCCTCAAGACCCACCGCATCTATTAAGTTCAACATTGTTCAAGTTTCAATTAATGATGAATATAAAGATGGGACCTGAATATCTCAGTGGTAGAACACTTTCTTTTCACATATTGCTAGTATGCAATATCTGAATCGGCATGTACACGCATTATTGGCAGCCCGGGGAAAATCTGCTGTTTCCTCCGATTTTTTTCATTTTTCTGCAATCATATTAATAACAACGAACGCCATTACATCTGGACCACCCAGACTAAGTGATAGTAAGTTGATGCCATTTGAAATTTAATTTAGACGACGTGGTGAGACAAGTTAACGAAACATTTTCTTTACGGAAATGAGACGGCCAAGATTTTGCCTAAGTTAAGTTAAATGCATACATTTATACAGAGTTAAAATGTACAAAAATCTTAACCCTCCCACTTGACAATCTAAATGATTTTGTAATCTAAAACCTATGTGCGGATTTTGCAAAAAAGGAATTATGTTTTTTTTTTAAAGAGCAAAAAATTAATAACAAATGATAAATTAATATGACAAGCTGTATAAACTTGTATTTCTGTTTCAAATATGTGAAATGCTTTTTCGTACGTGTGCACAAGAAGATTACGCATATCAAATAGTTCTACACATTTAAATCACGACAATTTTGATAATTCATATGCTAATATTTCACATGTATATTTTAGAAATGTCACATACAAAAATGTAAAATTAGTTTTCATTTGTAAAAGATAAATTACCTGTTTTACATATCTGTAAAACGAACGCATACGCTCAATACGATTACCGTGTGAAAAAACTGCAAATATATGCAAAACGGTACTTCAATTCATACGATAAATTCTTGTCCACGTATGCAGACATCTATAACAAGTGTTATAGATCTCTGACAAATGTATAAAATACATGTGACGAAAAAGAACATATGTGTAAAACAGTACGATTTAAATATTTAAAAGAAATTAAATTTGAGATAGTGACAAGATTTTTGTTGCAATCAATATGTCGTAAAATTAGGTCCATGTACCTGATAACCGCACGTACCATTAGACGGCAGCAACACGGAAACACATTTCACATTTCCATACAGGCAAGTGTATATGAGAAATTTACAAGTCTGCATTCAGCACCGTGCTTAACAATGGGTTCAAGACGATGCTTTCGCTGCTTTCTTTATATCTTCTTATTTATATTTATAATGATTCTCATAATAGGATACAAAGTAAGTCGTACACAGTACTAAAGAAAAGAAATTTAGACATAGGCTCACAACTGGTGACTATAAAAAAATATCACAATCCTTGAGTTTAATTCCACAATCTGGGACTACAATATCCTTACATCCAAAATGACCCCTTTGTAATATTATTTGTTACACAAAGATGGAATTGCTAAACTTCAAGTATGTATTCAACAGGGTTAAGGAGTGGGTTCGAAGGTATTGTACATGTTATTGTAGTTCAGTAATACACTCACTAGAGACTGGATGGTAAAGCTTCTTTGCTGGATACTCTGAGCAAATCATGTTCAGTTCAGAACGGAGTTGAACTGAACGACTATAATGTTAGCATAGTCAAAACTATCTCATTCAGTCTGATCAGTCTGATTTTTTATGGAAAAATGAATACACATCACTTTTGGAACTGACCATTTCATTGACGGAAGGGGGTATAATATTTTCTTTATCTGGGGATTCATAGGTACTACAGCAGTAATAAATGCTTGTCTAGTGTGGATGGTAATACTTTATAAATACAAATCAACTCTGCAAAATCAAGTGCATGTTTATTGTCTTTCAATGAATCACACTTGAACACTATTCCAACAATTGAAATAATCATTCTGACTTAAAAGAAAGATTGCTGCTTTTCACAAATTTGTCATTAATCAG